CAAGCAGTTTCTTTTTATTTAACCAATGACCTTCCTCCATCAGCAGAAGAAGAGTCAATAACAGATATCTAAGAGGAGAAATATAAAGATCGTTAATAGAAAGTATACAATAACTATATTGATCAAGTGCGCATAAACTCAGAAAGAAACGTATGGCCTTCAAAGCTTCAAAAATCTCTCCAAAAGCTGCCACGCTCACATTTGAGGAGAAGACATGGAGGGTTAGTTGTGGAAGTTAAAGCAAAGAGAGATAATTTTATGTCTCAACTTGGCCTGCCTTGGTCAAATCTTATCTGACTTACCTGGTCAAATAACATGTATAGATATTGCAGTGAATCTATTGGGTAGGTTTCTATAGAACAAAATAATATTCATACACAGATAAAAAATGGCTCATTGAACACCCAGAATTACTAAACAAAGAGTACACCAGCCTGAAAATTCCAAAACCAGATAAATAAAAAGGATAGAAACTTCTAGAAAGATAGGGAAGACAAAAATATAACAGGATAGCCAAGCCAATAGAATGCTATTTTTATGAATACCATTTGAAGTACTAGTAAAATTTCATATATCTCTCTTTAGTTGGATGTTTCAAAGTGCTAAAGACCACGCCAGGAACACAAACTACAATTACTTCTCTCTGCATTCTTCCAGGAGCTACCAGAGCATGTGCTCTAACATTTATACAGTTAAAGCGAGATAAGTAAAGACAGAGTGTTGTGGGAGCTGCGGGTTGCATTCCTGCCGCCCCAGCTCCTGGTTGCCTGGCTAGCTTATGCCCCGAAATAACAACACACAAACTGTATTCTTTTAAACACCTCTTGGCCCATTAGCTCTAGCCCTTACTGGCTAATTCTGATATCCCGATCAACCCATCTCTAATAAGCACCGGTCTTACAGGGAAAGATTCAGCATGTCTGACCTGGTGGCTTGCTTCATCGTGTCTGCCCGGGAGAGGGGAGCATGGCCTCTGAGCTCACTTCCTCTTCCTCCCAGCATTCTGTTCTGTTTACTCCTCCCACCTATGTTTTAACCTATGAGGCCAAGCAGTTTCTTTATTTCTTAACCAATGACCTTCCTCCATCAACAGAGACTTATGAAAACCAGGACCCAACACAGGGCAGGTGCAAAGGTGAGTTGTGGAATCCAGCTGTGGGGGAGGACTGGGTATTCTGCCCACATCAGAAGGGCAAGCCCGAGCACCCGGACCCCTGCAAACTGGAATCTCTAGGGAACACAAAGTGTGTGGCCAACCTTTAGAATGGAAAAATGGGCCAACGTCTTGTCCCAGACTCATAAAAATGCCTAAGCAATTTCTAGAAGACAATACAAGGCAAATAGTTTTTTCAGGAAAAGAAGTATAATGTGTAGATGGCTAGTTCAATAGTAGATCTAACAGTTCCACAGCAGCCAGCTCTCAATACAATCAGGGCAGAGGAAAAGAAATGCTGAGGAGCCTTATGAGGAACTCAGTACTCATGGACTGGTCCAAGAAAGTTTCTAAGTTCAAAACCAGTTAAGTCTCAGAGGTAAAGACATTTACTGCCAAGCCTGATGACCTGAGCCCATTGCGAGGACTGTGACACAGGAGAGGACCGACTCCCGATAGTGTCCTCTGGCCTACAGACATCCATATAAGATAGGCACACACATGTGCGCACACACACACAAATATAATTAAAAATAGAACACCAAGGTCAAACAATAGATGGACAATATTAAAAAATAAAATTTAAAATATTAAAAAAAGGATTCAAAGCCACAGGATAGTCGTGTGTGGTGGCGCTCAGCAGAGGACTTTGGGGACAACTTGACTTTTAAATCACAAGCCTTTACATTTTATTTGGTTTGTAAATTTATGCCTGTGGAGATCTTGATAAACATAAAATTAAATTTATAAAGGAAGGCTTTGGAGTATTACTCTCCACATTTGCCTTCCCCAAACCAGGCCCTGGTCTTTCTTCTCCCCCAAGGTCTATCTGTTTAAGGCTTAACTGATATTGGTTGCTTAAAGAGTCTAACTTTAAAGCTTTTTTCCTAACTAGAGATGTCACAAAACTCCACCCATAAGGGTGGGGCTGTTGCCGTCCCCTTTACAGGAGAGCAGGATGGCAGGCATCATTACCATCATGGAAACATAATGGTCATACTAAAAGCATGTTATATTTGGCTTACTCCATGCCTATTTTACTTCTTAGAATTTCAGTGCCTTTGAGACAAGGATTAACTAATTCAACCCACACAGGTACAAAGACAGTCCAATGCTTTACACACCAAGAATGCTTGGGCAAGAAGTTTGCAAGTTGGAGAGACCATGTAATAACAAGAGCAACTTCTTGGACTGTTCTTGGAATCAAGCACTTGCAATCTTAAATAGGGAAAACTGGAAATAGAAAAAAGAGCTAAGAGAACATGGCAAACTCCGCTGTTCCACCCCACACGGCAGCCTTGGCTCCCACTGCTGTCTCCCATCAGTGGGTTTTACGTGCACCGTACAGACATGCCTATCCAGTTTTCCATCCTGACACTTTTAAACATACAGAGCAGCTGGTGACACTGAGGAAGAGTGGGGAATATGCATGCTCTACTTGACAACCACCACGGCCTCCCAAACATAGACTAGAGAATGTGGCAGCCCTGAAGCTCTGCAGACCATTGTGAGCAAGTGGTCATTGTGCATGCGTTTGGAACTTAGTTTTCCACCTCTCTCCCCATCGACTTACACTCAATGAAAGCTCTCCTTGGGGTGCAGATACAATCGTCTTTGGTTAGTCTGAGATGTCCACATCTCAGATCAGAAACCGCAGTAGAGAAGGGATTGACAGTGTAAGTGACTGCAGTGTTGGAGGGGCGTCACAGTTCCATCTCAGTGTTTCTCATCACAGGTCGGTATCTCCAGAGAAACACTGTGATGAGACCTTGTTCCAGGGAGCATGCGCGAGAGAGACATGAGCCCATAGATGAGAGCACTATGAAATATCTGGGAAAAAAAACTAAATAAAACTAAGACAAGATTTTGTTCATGTATTCCCGCAGTGCCCCACTCGCCATTGTCATCTTTGGGCAATGAATTCAATTTTGTTAATGATCAGAGCTGTGGCAAAAGCGGCAAGTTCATTCTTGCTGGAGGGATTTCCTCAACAGGTTAGCGGATGGGCTAGCAACTAGGTTTATTATTTGCTAATTGTTTGTATCAATGTCTTCCCATATTTTTGATAACAGGAGCTCATTGTTTAATACAAGCAAAGACATGTGCACAGACTCTCTTGAAAAGTCTCTTATGGTTAGCTCTCTTTGGGAGGTCTATCTTCTGGCTAGCTCTCTGTGGACATGCACACAGACTCTCTTGGGAGGTCTCTCTTCTGTGGACATGCAAAGCAGTCCTGACCAAAGGACCGTGAAGAGAAGGAAGTAGCAATGGGCACCATTCATAAATTTACTTAGAAATGATTCTGCCTATCACTGCCTGGAAATGGTTGACTGGATGAAAACCAGAGCTGCCTATTGTAGGAGGTAGATGGGGGCCACTTCAAGTGCTGACATCTCTGGCCATGCTGAATTAACTCAGGGGTAGACATCCTGTCAAAATGAAGCAAATTAGACTCCCCCACCTCGGAATTATAAGGTGACTTGTAAGTCTATCTGCCCAACTGGGCATAGAATCAGAAGCAACATCAGGAACACATGGTGGCATAGTATCCATGGAAGAAGAGTGGATTATGGGCACTCCTGGGGCAGGGAGAAGAAAGGAGAATAAGAACATTCTAGTCCTTTTGGAGGCAGGAGAATTTCTATTTATATAGTTTTACTGCAGCATAGCTTCTTAAAGTGACACTTTCTACATTTCCTTATGCATTTCAATGAGCTTTGATAAACTGGTAACTATATAGCCGCTCACACAACCAAAGTTTAAATTGTATCAGTTTATCTGAACCTCTACTGGGGTCCCTTTCCAGTCAGTCCCCTTCCACATGGCCCCCTAATCTTAATTTTGCTCTTAAAATTTTGTTTTTCTGACTTTCATGTACATAAGATCACAAATTAAGCAGCTTTATCAATCTTATTTTTCTCCCCTAGCCCAATTTTAAAAAGAAAGTCACATAAGGACAAGAAGCTACATTTGTATCATACGTCCCTTTCTTCCCCATCTCATGTCCTCCTCCTCCACCTCCTCTCCAATGCATGATTTCACTTTGCTAGGCAGGCAAGTGTTCCCGGTGATGACATGGTGGGACTTGCACATTGGGATGACCAACAGCTGTCCCCCTGGACCCAAGGCTAGCTTAATAGGAGGGAACTCATGCCTGTTACTGTAAACCTAACCAACAACCCATGACGAGAGTGCCATAGACCCTGGAGAAGAGCCAATGCCTGTCATTTTCCAAAATCAATATAGCTTTCAGCTGTACTCTAACTACTCATACTTAAAGTGATCAATTTATTATAAAGTATTACTTCATTAAAATTAGAAAAAAAAGCAAAGAAACTCCCATCAGAAAACAATTGGAAAGATAGGTTTCTATACGGTGAGATCAGGATTTACCTATCTTATTATATAATGACATTTAAAAATAATTCTGGATGTATCCTGACAATATCAGAGAATACATCCCTTTTCTGCATAATATTTTGCCAGCCAACTTCATTTAGAAAATTGGTTCATCATATAGATATTTGATATTGTATGGATAATTAGGTCAAATTCCCTTCTTCTTTTTTTTTCTTTTTAGAAAAAATTACCCCCTATTCTCAATCATTTATCTTCTAATTTTTAAAAAATGCACCCATATCAGGGTAAGAAATGCTTTTGTCTTGAAGTAGCTCCGTTCCCCCACAAACAGCAATTGCACACACAAGACAGTCTCAAGCAGGTCAAACAGCTCTCTTAGGACGATGTAAGCAAAATGATGATGCTAGAGGTACACTCTTTAGAAGCTGCATCCAGAAACAAAGGGGTCCCCTGTGGTCACTGCACTGAAAAGGAGCTGGTCTCTTACCTGGCTGACACTGCTCACACCTTCTTCCTCACCAATGAGGCCGACATAGGCACTGGCCACTGACGAGGTCACAAATGCTTCCAGGTATTGTTCCCAAGGAATCGCGCTCACACACCCGATGCCCTTGAAGACTGCCCATTGTCACATTGAACCTGTGAGGCTCACACTGGTGGCAGCACAGATCTGTTACTACTGCTTTGCAAAGACATGGTCCCGTTGATTTGTCATGCGACAGAGAGCCATCTACTGTCCTGGTCTTCTCACAGTTGCAAGGCAAAAGGAGGAAGGAATCTTTCTGTGGTAGACTGAAGCTCCCCTCCACACACTGATTGCACTGTTTCCCTCCAACGTTGGACTTACAGATGCACTGTCCTGTCTCGGCATCACAGATGGTCCCAGCTTGGGAGCCAGTCATGTTACAGTCACAGGCCTTACAAGTGCTGCTGGCCAAACCGTAAAGGTTTTCTCTGCAAATGTCACACTTAAATCCTTTGGATCCTTTTTCTGCACGCACACTGCCCAGGAAGTGAATCGCAGAGCTGGTTTGCTGAGCTATGGAGGTTATAGTGGCAGGGCTCACATCCACCATCATCAATACTCTGGAGAAATTTAAATCCAAATTAGCAGCGATTGCATCTAAGCCCTGTAAACAAAACACATTTGAAAGGGTGAGGGAATTAGGATGGCACCAAGGATGATGGCTGGAGGTTAACCTTTAACACAGATCCAAAACATAAAGAGGACCATTCTGGACAGCCATCGAGGCCAAACACTACCGAAATATTAAGTCAGTTCTCACATGGGGCCTGTAAGCAGCATGCTATGAATAATATCATTGCTAATCAATGCAACAAAAAATGCAGAATAGACACATAACATTGTTTCTGTTGAATGCGTGGTGAACTTTTTTCTACTTCTACAAATTTCAAAACTATTTTACTTAAAATAGACTTTGACATATAAAAGTCACATGGCACGTGAGTTACTTTTCTGAAACTCAACATTGCCTGGAGAGAGTTAGTAAGATTTTTCTAGGAGGGTAAGCAAAGTATAAAATACCAGCCAGGCAAAATAAACAGGTTCTAGAATTCAGTTCTCTATCACCATGGCTGGAATTACAATGGTGAACTGTGTTAACATGTATACTTAAACGCTGGTAAGGGAATCAATCTTACTATTTTTCACTACAAATATGTTAAGTGTATAGGGAGTAGATACACCAATTAGTCTCAAACAATTCTTCCCCAAATTGTCCACAAACCATAACTCCATGTTGTATCCCAATTAAAATAGTGAATTTGTATTTACTACTATGCCTTTAAAAGCTGGGGGAGAAGAAACAATAAAATACTGTTCTGATAACTCTCTTTGTGCACAGGGACATGCACCCTTACTTCAGCTGCTACACATTAAATAATCGACATAAATACAATGTATCCAATTTTTATTTTAATCCTCTGTATACTCTACATTTTATAATTTTCAATTAATATAAATTACACTTGCCTTGGCTCATAAGGCGAGCGCACTGCTTGTGAAATCATGTGATTCAAAACATACCTGTTCAGGTATGAAGTAAACTCAGAGCTTTATGTTTTTTTCTTTTTAGAGGGGCACGAACATACGTTGTACAAATGGAGAAAAATGTTTTGTCACCTAAACTTAAACCCCTGACAACTTAGGTTAGTCTCAACAAGGACATTACCAAGAACAGGAATTTAAAAAAAAAAATTCAACAGTGATGTTTAGATGCAAATCCCTTCCCTTTAGACAGACCTCATATATCCATGAATGTAACTACCTGACTACACGGCATTGAATCAATTGAGACATCTATTTCAAACTATAATTGTATAATTGTAATAAAAAATTAGTCCTAAAATAAGCATCAAATACATACTCAGGCACTGATATGGAGAAAAGAAGCCCTAAGCTGCAAGAAAATGCATAATATGTATGTATATGGACAAAAATTCATTCAAACTCCAAGAAAGGCAAGTTCTTTAACAATGATGAACGGCTCACCTAAGGCATACCATTTAATTTCAATAAGGAAAATAAAAAAGGACCACGATTGCTGCAAATTTTAAAAATAACTGTATTGTTAACAAGAATTATGACTCATTTTGAACTATTAAAATCGGTCTACATGGATTCATATCAGATCAGTTTTAAAAATATGCACAGTGCTTATTTGAATATGCCATACATATTCCTGACAGGTAATCTATTCCTAACGATACTCACGGAGGCCTACAGGGCATCACACTCGGAGCTAACAAGTGCGGGCGAGTTAGCACACTTGGCATTTAATTCACATTCTTCTCCCTTTTTATTCTAGATGAATGACCTACTTTAATAAAATTATTGGTGGTAATGTATTTTACTGGTGATAGAATCATTAGTAAGATTTAACAGTTTTGTTAACTCAAACAGTTTGCCTTCTGAAACATATACAACACACCCTTGTGTTTTCAGGGTTTTTTGTTTGTTCCTATTAACGAGGTAATCTTCAACAAGGATGGCTGCTAATCCTATTAGGAAAATATATATTCACGTCAAGTTCGTGTTTTTATTAAAAGTATTTCACTTGCAGAGATTACTCAAGAAATCATTATTTATAATATTGTTAAAGTGAGGATTTAATCTTCACAAAATACATATTTATATTTTCCTGCAGACTTGCAGCATCCAATAAAATGAGCAAATGACAATAGGAAATGGCACAGATCATGATAAATTTTAGGTAATTAATTTTTTTTCTTTTTCAAGCTGTAGGACCTAACTAATATAGGAAAGGTGTTACTAAAAGAGAGAAGCCTCCACTCCATCATGCACAAAGACCTGGGTTCAGCTTGCTTCTGTATCTTGAATTTAAAACATATCTCATACCCAGGAACAAAGAAAGGCACACTGAATGAATTCTTCACCCCACTCCTCCATACGTCAGCCAGGGTTTCTTTTTGAAAGTTAGTGTTTGTATAGTTGTCATAAATAAAGGTGGGAACGATGTTACACATCTTAACATCATCTTTCCTTAAACCAGTTTATGTGATGTCATCAGACCTGTCCATTTTTTAATTAGATTAATTAAAATGTGTGTTTACCATAGCTGTGGAATTTTGTATATATATATGAGCAAACAATACATATTGGGTTATATTACAAAATATATACATAATCCAGAATTGTATGTAAGTACATACATACATATAAATGTATACATGTGCATGCATATGTGTGCTTGTGTGTGTGCATATGTGTGTGGTACAGAGATCTTTGCCAGGTACATTTATTATTCTGAGGTTCAGGTCAGTGTAAGTATAACCACACAGGACTTGGAGTCTTGGGTGACAATAGAAAGGCCAAGGTCTTTTTTAAACTTCTTGCAGGAACCAGGGCATGCTCAGTTAGAACACAGAGTGCACTTCATCAGAAAACTTTCCTAATATTCCCATACATCAAAATTTCAAAGTGCATTATGTACGTGGTGCGTTTTGGGCACTTGATAAATTTTGTCCTTATGTGGCGGTGGTTCCCCTCAAAAATGCTGGATGTAATAAATTGCTATAATCAAATCTAATTTCTGAAAAATACCTGTGGGAGTAACAAACAAAAAAGCATGTCTTGTATAAAAAAATGATAAATAACACCAAAGCTCTCTGTTTATTATAATCAGCTTGGTACAGAATTACAAAATTAAAATTATGTGACCCTTTATAAGTAACTCTAGCAATAAACATGATGTGTGGAATTATATTGACTTGCTTTGCATTTCATAGGGACAGTTCAAAGAAATATAATAGAAAAAATGGAAAGATTTATCACAAAGTACCCTTTAGCACAGAATGTTTTGGAAAAAAATCCATTTATTTTAGCCTATTAAAAGTAGCAGGGAAATGATTTGCTTAGAACTCATTAAGTGTAAAACATTTTGAAAAAGTGCTAATTTTCTAACAGAAACATCTATGCAGCAGGCAAATTATATTTTTCTATGACTTATTAGTTGAGTCTGTGTAACTAATGCATCTACCGAATAAAGAAACTTCTAAAGGGTTGATTAAACTAAGCGTCAAACTACAGTTTGATACAATTATTAATTGAGACATTTTTAGATAGTCAATTTCATCCAAACTGGTTTTCCCCAGCCTTGAGCAAGAGAACTTGTTTTACCCTTCAGTTAAGCAATCAAATATTGGCTGGGAACAGAGATGTGACTATAAACTTGTGCTTGGCACGTACCAATAACGTGTGCTTGGCACAAGCCCTGGCCTGAATTCTGGTGACAGGTAATGTCTCCATCCGACAGTCCCGGAGGGATTGCAGTTCCAGGGGTGGCAGCCATCAGGATCCAATGCCTGCAGGTCCAAGAATTCATCCTGGCATGGAAGGCGCTGTGTCCCAGGCACATGTCTCTTCCAATCACACTGGCCTCCAATCTACAGGAGATGCAACATTTTGTAGAATGATGAACGTATCTATTTTTAGATAATTTCCTCATTAGATACAAGACAGTAAGGGAAGGTGAAAAATCTTGAAATGTTAAACAGACAAGAAGGCAATCAGGTTGTGCCCCTCATGACAGCAAACATGGGGAGTTTCGGCAGGGAGCTAATGGGTGGCTGAGGGTGGAAATAGGCCCATGGGAGTCAGGTGCATATGACTAAAGGGGAATGGGGAATCAGGCATTTAAGTACTATATAAAGAAATCAGAATATAGACATTCGAGTCCTGGAAATAGAAAAGAGCCGGCAGCTAATTTAATCTCCCCAGCTCTCGCTTGCAGTCTCACCCTGTCCTCTTACTATCTGGTTGGTCCAAATCTGTTTTGAGCAGTTAGGTGTTTAAATTAAGAAAAAAAAACTCCCCATGATGAGACAGCCCCATTAAGTGTGAATGTTAATGATGTCCTTTGCAGTGCAGCCCTGAAGACTCACCATGATAGACATCTTTATCCGTTCCTCTTCGAGGAACACTTCAATGCTCGCTCGCTTATTTGTGGTATCATTCCACAGGAAGTATGTCATAGATAGCTAATATTATTGCCAATTATGCACGCGCTTTCAAATATCCAGGACAGGACTTCAGATTAAAAATTTTAAAGCATCATTGTTGTCTCATCTTCCCTCCTCTAAGAACAGAGTTCTTATTGGAATCACCATTTTAAGATAAGACAAGAAAACTGATGTGGAACTATCTAAGTTGTAAAAAGTAAAGTGTTTGAGTTATAGGTGACGGACTCCAATATCCAAGATGGTGAGCATAGAAGTATGGTCAGGCACTTAGAGAATGCTACCTCATACCTGGCTGTACTTCGTATTTGCCTGCTTACTCAACCTCCCAGAAGGTATGAAGTTGACTAATAAAAGGATATGCCTTTTCCTGCAAACATAACCCTCATCTCTTGGTATGCATGCATTGCACCTAGGCATGAAATGCAAAGGTCCCCTGGTTGCCTAGGTGTCCTATTGCCACCATTTCAAAGACATCACTCAGTAACTCAGGCCTGACTTCTTGCTGGTGCTTCGTATGTGTGGATCCTTCTCTCCAAACAGACAGCAAGTACCCTAGAAGCCTGGACACACGCTGCGTGTCTGTCAAATAACTACACACACTCTATGCATCAAGAATATCCATTCAAAGACAAAGAGCAAAAGAAAATGACAGAGGTAGACAAATCAATGTCTCTTGTGTTCAAACTTTATCTCTTGTATACATTGTTAAGTGTTTAATTTAAATGTCTTCTCACTACCAATTAGAGTTTAAACCACTCTGAAGTCGTCAGGAGCATGTGAAGACCTGGCATCTACACACCAAATGCTCACTACTGTGGGCTTTCTCTCTTCTTTTGCTCTACCCACAAATCATGTCTGCTTTTATCTTCACACATGACTATCATCCCCTTTGTGCATAATATTCCCCCCAAATCTAAATTCCTGCCTTGAGTTTTATCAAAGCATTTTGCCAACAAAAATAGTGTTCTCCATGTGAGCCACTCTGGCGCAAATTCTGACGATAACTATTTTCACATCATTGATTTAAAAAAAGTTTGTTTAATACATGCAAATTAAAGTTCTACCACATTGGTTATACCTTAACAGGTAGTTTGAAAAGAAAATGGTAGAGGGTTTTATAATTATATAAAAGCATCAACATGACTCAGTTACTTCAAGTTGAGCTGAAAATACAGGTTTTTTCCCCCCAAGCATTTCATTTGCAGGTACCATAAACCTACTTACTGTCTCAGATTAATCGCTCCCATTCACATATTAAAACAAGAGTCTGTCTTCCCCTTTAAAAAATACTTCTAAGCTAAGCATGCTGGTGGCTCATACCTGAAATCCCAGCATTTGGAAAACTAAATTAGAACTGGCACAAATTAGGAGTCAGGCTAAGTGACATAGCAAATTGGAAGGCAGCCAAGCTCTACGGAACAATCCTGACTCAAGCTAACACTTTCAAACAGATACAGTCTCCAAGAAAATCTACTTTTAAGTTCAGATATTGATTCTCTTTAGCCAACATCTTAACATGTTCTATGCTGGGGCTTGAACACGTATGTAAACCTGGGAATCTGTGCTCTCACGTTGGACCTGAGGGTCTGAGCTTGCCTTGTGAGGCAGCTCCTGGAGAGAGTTAGTGGGCATGTGAGGAGTGAAATGCCCACATTATCTTTATTTCCTTCACCCCAGCTAACAGCCTGTTTGACAGTCACCAGACATCTGAGTCCCTCTTAGGTCACCCAACTGCACATACAATTGAGAGATCTCAGTAAGTTCAACCAAGGCAGTTAGGTCCAGTTCTGAGGCAACCAATAAAGTCAAAATTTGAGTGTCTTTTTTTTATATTTATATTTATAATTATGTGTATTTTTGTGTGTATGTGTATTGATATGTGTGTCCACAGAGGCAGGAGATATTGAGTCTCTCTGGAAGTTGGGAGTTATCTAATAGAAGGGCTGGGAACTGAACCTGGGTCCTTTGAAAGAACAATAAGCATTCTTAACTACCGAGCCATCTCTCCAGGCCCAGTTTTTGTAGCTTAAGCAGCAAAAGTTATCATATATAACACTGCCCACCACAACTAAGTTCATGTTCCAGTTCCCTGTCAAACAGACTGAGAGGAAAATAGTTTAATCACTACAGTCATGTGGCAGACTATTACTGAGATTCCAAGGACCAAGAAGAAAGGAAAAGAGAAAAAAATGGTACAACAGAGAACAAGAACAAAAATGTGTCTTTATATTTCAAGCTATGTTCATTTCTCTGCTCTTCAAGGCTTACAACACTATCCAGGTCAGTTTTAATCCACTTCTAGACACATTAACAAAAGAAAAGTAGCACACACCCACATGCTCTGCCTCAGGTTGGAAGCAACCTTCATAAGCATGGCTTCAGTCACATTCTTTCCAGTTTTACAAGACTTGGGCTGTTTCTTTGAAATCCTCTCTAGAAGGCACTTTGGGGCTATGGATAACTTGCCAGGTTAACCTTCTAACAGTCTGATAAGTTTGAATGATGTTTCAGCTTTCAAATTTTTGTTGAACTGGAGTCTTGTTAGATTGTCGGTTTTGAACTAAAGATCCTCCCACTTTAGCCTCGAAGGGCAGAGACTGTAGGTCTGAACCACTGTCCCTGGCTCCCGATTTCCGTTTTGACTGTTTTGTGATCTATGGGTTATTAAGAAATAGGTCAGTTTCTAAATATTTATACATGTTTCTGAATATCTTATTTATTTGTAATATTCCTAATTTAACTGATCAGTTAATATACTTTATATGATTCAAATAATTTACAGTCTGCTGAGGCATGTTTTATGGCCCAGAATCTGGTCTATTTTGGTAGATGTTTTCCATAGCTCTCAAAACGACGCCACAACCCTTGACTGTTGCTGGACTGAGGGCTCAGTCAACGTCAATGAGGTCAACTTTGTTGATAGTGTTGCTGTAATCTATATACTTACTGATTTTCTGTCCATTTGTTTTTCATGGTTATTGAAGACAAGGGGTATTGATATTTTCACATGAAATTGAGATTTTTTTTCTATTTTTTCATTCAGTTCTATTGATGTTTGCTTTCTATATATAGTTATTTTGGCACACAAATGTTAAGAATCAGTAGGGCTTATCATTAAAATGAAAACAATTCCCTTTGCAATATATAATTGTTTTTGGTACCCTCCATAAAACGGTTGCAGTAAAATCTGTTTCCTGATACTAATAAAGGCGCGGCAGCTTTCCTCCAGTTCTTGCTGGCAAGCGTCATCTCTCCAAAGCTGACATGTAGCCGTGTGTTCGCTCTATTTGAACTATATCTCCTACATATTGCATATGCTCTGTTCATAAGATCTCACTTTCACATGTTGTTCCCATTTTTCACTCATAAGTGGAATATTAGAATGTGGAATTTGGACATGGTTATTGCCATGACCCAAAGCTCACCACGACCTTCTTCCAATTGACCTAATCTTCCTGGGCTTCCTCATCTGTCCTTTCCTAATTATTTATCAGGATAATTTATTGAATCCATTTAATGTCCACAATGACTGACTAAATGCAAGTTTTACTTTATGATTTTAGAGTATTCTCTTGTACATATTTACACCATTGACCTAAAAGGGAGAAATTTACTTCACACGTGGCATAAGAACCTTACACCCTTCCCCTTCTCCCTTTTTTACCATGGCCATATATTTTCCCACACTGCACTCTCTTTAAAGTGGTGCTGATTTTGTTTAAACTTTCCATTGCCCCTTAGAGAGAGTTAACACACAGGCAATGCACTTTAGCAGCTACCATTTTTGGATCACCTTCTTTCCATGTGTTGATCCATGGAACATGTGTTATTTTACTCCCTCTGAAGCACTTTTACAAAATGTTTTGTATGCTGCCGCTCTACCTGCAATTGACTGAAACTTTATACTCTGTACAACTGAGCTTCCTCTTCCCCCCAGAAACACACTGCCATGGCTACGGGATTGAGCTGTGCCATGTCTTTCTGCATGTTCAGTGTTTCTCCACTTTCTTCTCACTTGAATTATTTTAACCGAAGTCTGCGGTCATCCTGCAGTTATTCCTCTGTATGTATGTAATATGTATGTTTCTTTGGATACTTCAATGTTTTGTTTTTATCACTAGAGGAAGCAATCAATAGTTCTGAGGAATTTGATGATTATAATCCTATTTATAGTTTTTTTTTATTTCTCATTTGTGTGCTTTATTGACCTTCTTGACTCAGCGACTTTGTGGCCTCATGTACAATTTGGGGATTTCTAGCTATTATTTCTTTGTATATTTTTGTCTGTTCCACCACACTCAGATTCACACAGTCTTTTAGAGCTTCATGACAGCTCGTTCACAATGGCTTCACTTTTCTCAGTCATCTTTTTCCTCTATGCTTCATTTCTATTGCTAAGCAGATACTAAGTTATTAATATTTCT